AGAAAAATACCTTCTACACTAGTCTCGCAAAAGAGTATATTGTGATTCATCAAACATAAGGATTATACAAAAAATACGTTCTTGATGGGTGAATTTGTTGAAAACTCCATTGTTAAAAGGATGAACTGGGAACAACTAAAAAAGACTTTTGGCCCCAATTTCCTCTGGTATTAGGCAATATTTTAAGAAATGCATTGTCTAATATTTGACATGACATTGTAAACATTTTTCCATGTAATCTCCTTGCAATCTTCCCACTGTTTAGTCCCGAAGACTAAAATCACAAATGCCCTCTGAAAAGGACCGAGGTTCTTGGGGGAGCCTGGGGGTGTGCTAGTCAAGGAGCCCTGGTGGCAGGATGATTCAAAGGCTTGGCTACTACACCAGGAAGGGCTTTGATTTGAACCCACCAGATGCTGGCCACAATGGAGAGAGATGTGACAATCAGCTTCAGCATAGATGGATGGCCCTAGAGAATCAGAATGACTCATCAGCAGCCAGCATTTTGAAGTTTGGGAAAGCTGTGGAAGATACTACATTTCAAATTTGGTGCTGCAAGGTGAAACAGAAACCCCGTTTTCAGAAACAGCCTTCAGTGAGTTGTCAGAAAGCATGAGGAAGGATTTGAACCTTCAAGCATTTGCTGGTGAGGTTTGAGTGGGTCTTATTTGAATTTCAAGAACCCAGGTGAGCCTGAATGACATCTACGTAGTACCACGCAGCTCTGAGCTCCACGAGGAGCCCTGCTGGCGTGGGAGGTCAGGGGCTGGGTTTACACCAAGCAGCCACTCCATGGGAGAAGCATGGAGACGTCTGCTTCCAGCATTGTTGTTGGGGGTCTCTTTGTTTGTTTACTTTATAGGCCTTTGTACTGTTGTGCTTTCTTCCATGTGGTTATTTGCATGTAAAATCCAGGAGCAGTAAATGCATGGAGACATAACTGGACCGGAGGGATGGAGAGCTACAAAAACATGAGTACAAGAAGAAAACACTCTGAAAGAGGTTGTGGTGATGACCACACAGATCTTCTCAATAGGATTTAATGAGTGAATTGTTTGCTAGGTGAAGGAAATACCAGTAAAACTAAGACTGTCTCAGAAACCCCACAGAGCAGTTTATGCATCAGAATGGACTCACTGGCAGTGGGTTTGATCTAGTTTTTTAAGTGAGGTAGTGCTCAGCTTCCCCTTCTGCCCCGCACTGCCACTCTCTCCCCAGCTACCCACAACGTTGTTGTTGGGTGCTCTTGAGTTGGCTCCAACTCCCAGTGACCCCCTGGACAAAAAGCAAGGCTGCCTGGTGCCGCACCATGGGCACCATTGTTCTTGCATGTGAGCCTATTGCTGCAGCCACGGTGTCCATGTATCTTGTCTAGAGCCTTCCTCAGGGCCGTCTCCACAAAGAATTACTCAATATTCCAGGATTTGAATTGATCTCTCTCTTTGTCTTGCTGGACTGTGTGCTGCACCTTAACCTTATCCTGTTCAAGCTTAACTCGTGCTAAAGTATCAGCTCTGCTGTCATTTCTGAGAAGTCTAGAGTGTGGAAACTGTTGTTTATAGTGTAACCACACCTATTTCTGCCGAGTCAGTTCCAATACATAGAAAACTTACAGGACAGAAATGGGACTTTCCATCGTTTCTGAAGAGGTGTCCTTGGAAACAAACTACCGCTTCTTTCCCTTGTGGAGCACGAGTGTTTCAAACAGCTGATTGTGTGAGTGTCCACGTACTTCATCACTGCGCCACCAGGGCGCCTTATGGATTAAATTAATCTTTCTATTGTGTTTAAATAGAGGTTCCTAGAATAGCACTGTAGGGCCCAGAGAACGAATGCTGACTGAAGGCTACTCCGCAGCCCCTTTTTGCGGATGAGCCCCAAATTCAGAAGCTGTTTTTGAATCGGCGCCTGCTTGACCCCCAAATCCCTATCATTCCTAAACTGATGTATCGATACCATACCCCATTGTATTATTTTCTTGTCACTTCCTCGCACTCAATCTTCGAGATCTATTTTAGTTTTATTGCATACATATTAAATTGTCCTTAAAAACTAAGAAAAGTACATTGACCCACGAAGCTGGTCAAAACACTTGCTACATTGCTAGTAGTGAAGTTTCATGAATTGCAAAATTAATGGAAATCTACCTATGGGAGATCACATAAGCATAGGTGGTGGTGGTGTTAGGTATGCTTAGCTCTGTTTCCCACCATGAGGGCCCAGTGTGTGCAGAGCCGAAATGCCCCACCGTATTTTCAAGGCTGTGATTTTTTCGTGCAGTACTCCTCCACCTTCCCAATGCCGCAACCCTTTCATACAGTTCCTCATGTGGTGGTGACCCCAAACATCACATTATTTCTGTTGCTACTTTATAACCGTCACTTTGCTACTGTGATGAATCGGGTCATTTGACCCCCAAAGGGGTGTGAACCCACAGGTTGAGAACTGCTTTTTTAGTCAAAAGTCATACCATATTCCATTTATGAGTTGTTGTGGGGTTTTAATTTCTATTTATAGAATCATACAATATGCAGATTTCTTTCTTTTGTTCCCTGACAGTATCTGAATTCAGGATCATATCATCTCTTTTTCAGACTATTGCAGTTTCTAAATGGGCTTTTTGTTTTCAGTAATTCCTCTTTCCCAGGATTGATAATATAATAAATTTCTGAAGCGCAGATAGATTCTTACCGTTTTTCTTTTTAAATCCTACAGCAACGCTCCGTCAGCTCTTATCAAATGGATCCATAATCTTTTGCATGATAAATAAATTGCTGTGGGAAAAATTTGCATTGGTGCCTACGAGACAGAGGAAAGGACCTTTAGGATTTAACCTTTTCCTTCATTTGTATCTTAGGTCCCCAGTCTTATCTGGTTTACCCCCACCTTCTTAGAAAAAAAATTACTTTGCACACCGTGCTCCGCCCAGTAATGAAAACCGTTTGTGCTACAGCACATCCTCCAGAGTACAATGTACAGAACAAAAATGAACTCGCTGCCTCTGAGTCGATTCCGACTCATAACGATCCCACATGATGGGGTAGAACTGCTTCTGTAGGTTGGCCAAGACGAACTCTTCATGAGATTAGAAAGCCCTGTCTTTCCCTCCGAGTGTAGCTAGTGGATCAAACTGCAGTTAACAGTGCAACAGGTAACCACTACACCACCAGGTAGAAGTGTCTGTTTTTGCAGCTCCCCGGGACCATTCTAGGTGCACCCCCGGGGGGTGGGGGGTGGGGAGGCAGTATCACCCATTTTGGGAAACACTGGTGTGTATCCTTGTGTGATGCCCTCCACTTGCAGTCCTAAACTAGCCTCACCCTCACCATAAATGATTATGCTCTGTGATGTTATGCATGCTGTGCAGTCTTCTTGTCCTAGCCCTGCCACGTGACAGTCACTAACATTTTATTGGGTTTCAGACCCCTCATGCATAAAGAAGGGTGATAGGAATTCACTGAGGTCTCTTTCAGATCTCTATATTATGACTCTAAGGCACTCCAGATATTTCAGAGTTTCAAATGGTGGCTGGATTCTGGAATAAACTACTGAAGCCTATAAAGTAGCTAAAATGTACAATAGAGGGACCACTAACAATGTCAGAATCCTAATAATTTGTATATCTATACTTGATGGCAAACAGATGTGATCGCAACAGTGATTTAGTGCCATCCATAAGAAAGCACGTGGGGAATCCAGGGCGGATGAGCCCTACAGGACCAGTGGTGTGATTGACGAAACAGGGAGGGTAAAGGGAGAATGGGTAGGAAACAGGGAACCGATTATAAGGAACTATATGTGACCTCCTCCCTGGGGGATAGACAACCGAAAAATGGGTGAAGGGAGACGTTGGACAGGGCAAGATATGACAAAATACCAATTTATAAACTATCAAGGGCTCATGAGGGAGGGAGGAGGGGAAAATGAGAACCTAATGTCGGGGGTTTAAGTGGAGAGAAAATGTTTTGAGAATGATGTACAAATGCGCTTTACACAATTGATGTGTGTATGGATTGCGATAACAGTTGTATGAGCCCCTAATAAAATGTTTAAAAAAAAAAAATATCAAAGCAAAAAGTAAAAAAAAAAAGAGAGAGCACGTGGAAGTTGTGGTAAACTAGCAATAGAGTTTAGTGACACACTAAATGCCATGATGTCAAATAGGTACTGTTTTAATAACAGAAAAGAGAAAATTAATATCTAAAGCACAGAGGTCCAATAAAAACTACCAACAACTAAACCCAAACACCGCGACAAGTTCCATCCCTCCGCTGTGGGGAGGGAGAACAAGTGAGGGAAGCTTTGTGGGGAGCAGGGGGTAACCTCAAAGGGACAGCGAGACCCAGCATGCCTTTCTTCATAGCACCATTAAATGGATTAAATGCACAAAGAGAAGAGCCCAACAAAAGAGAGTTGTGGGCTTGGGGTGGTGTGAGGAGAATGGCAGGCTGAGAGGACCTGAGGACGTAGGCATTGATGGTCGAGTGATCGAGAAGGAGAATGTGGAAGGAGGATGGGGGTGCACAGTCCCTGAGGTGAGAGCAAGATGCAGCGGGGAAGCATTTGGAAGTCAGGTCTCTGTGATGGCCGTATGCTTGAAATGCCAGCTCAACACAGCTTGTTTTATTTGGGAAAGAGCAAAAAAAGAAGAGTGAGCTCTAGAAGATGAGATGAGAAACACAAGGGAAGCCAGAACGCCAGAAGGTGTGACCGCGCAGGATGTTGGCATGTTCTTTGGGAAGCACACGCATGTGTGATCTAACTTCCATTGTTGACGTAAAACATGCTCTACTGTCTCTGAGGTTTGCAGTGGCTTTTTTTCACACTCACTTCTGTCTTATAGCATCTAGTCGTAGATCTATAAAACTTTTAAACTTAAAAATTGTACTAAACATAGGCTGTAATATTTAGGGCTTGAGAACTCAAGTGGTAACCAAGGATTAGAAACAATGTCTACAATGCCATTTTTTAAAAACTTTTATTATTATTTTAAGCTTAATTTATTCCCGAGCCATGAGTTTTTGTTTCTTCAGTTTCTTCTGGGAGATCTTTTTCTGCTGTGCAACCTTCTCTTCTGGTTCAGGAACAATGCGTTCCTTCTCAGTCAGGATCATGTCAATGTGGCAGGGGGAGCTCATGTGTGGGTTGATCCGACCGTGAGCTCTGTAAGTCCGGAGCGCCTTGGGGGCTTGGTTCACCTGGATGTGCTCAATGACCAGAGGATCCGCATCTAACCCCTTAAGTTCAGTATGACTGTCTGCATTTTTAAGCGTGTGAAGCAAGAATTCAGCACTCTTTTTGGGCCACTGACTCTGGCTCCAACCCCACTGTTTGGCCTGGGCACACCTACCCAGGCCACCATTGTAACGGCGGAAGGGCATCCGCTGCTTCTGCAGAGGGACGTCTTTCAAGTATTTGGTGGCTTTCCGGATGTGCATGCCTTTGATGGCCTAGGCAGTTTCCCGGGTGTTCTTGAAGTGGACCCGGAGGTTCGACCCTCTTGATCTGCAGGATTTTGTAGGGTTTTCTGGGTCAAGTGAGTAGCAAACCATTTTGGCAGGTCACCCCAGGCCGCTACAGTTAGAGTACAATGACATTTTCATGTGCTTTTATTTTTAACCCCTCTACACCCCTCCCAAATCCACTGCTATCAACTTGGTTCCAATGCATAAAGCCAATAGGGTTCCCAAGACTACATCTGGACAGGACCAGCCAGCCTCATACTCTCCTGTGAAGTGCCTACTGGGTTTGAATTGCCAACCTTGTGCTTAGCAGCACAATGCCTAATGCACAGCACCACCTATTATTTTTGAAAGACATGGAGGAAAAGGTTTGAGTCTATATAGGTAAAAATCAAATCTAAACCGGACACCAAATTTAAGATTCTGAAGACTCTAATCCCGGTATTATATTTTACTATTCATTTGACAGCAATTGAAGAGTGAAAATTCATTACCTGTGCTTGTTTTATTACTATTTTATCTATTAAAATTATGACCATTAAAATTTGCATTTAAATTGGTAACTCTTATTTGCAAATTGAGGAGCACTGGTGTGTAGTGGTTCCATGTTGGACTTCGATCTCCAGATCTGCAGTTCAAAACCAGCAGGTGGTCGTTGGGGGAAATCTGGGCTTTCTACTCCCATAAAGAGTTACTGTCTCAGAAACTCACAGAGGCAGTCCTAACCTGTCCTATGGGGTCGCCATGAGTCAAAACTGACCGTGTAGCAGTGAGTTTGGAATTGGGTTTTGTTTACAGTTTGAGTAATTGTACTTTTGTTGCATGTCCAGAAATAATTTAATTTCTAGCTGAAAACTGAAAAGCAATTCTCTTTCCCTCCATCCCTCCCATAGCTACTGAAGGTGAGGAACACTGGGCCTTGCCCTTCATGGAGTAGTTAGTAAAATATGCCCATTTTTCTTCCTGGGAGGAAAGGTTCTCCATAGGAAGCCAGAGAAGGGATGTGGAAAATAGTGCAGCTGGAAAATTAGCTCATCGTGGTCAAATTCAGGAAAACAAATACTTGTAGAAGCTGCTGAGTGTCTAAAAATAATCGTACTTCTCAAACTTAGATAATGAAAGAAAAATGTTGTCAGTTGTTGCTGTTTGCAATTTTTAGTGGCATTTTGTTTCCATTCCCTTGAATAAATTCATCCACATATAAGAAGAACCCTTTCTGCCGTGAATGAAGGGAGAACAAAGAACTGTAGGTTTCTTGGCAAATGAAGAGCCTGTGGGTCATCGAGACTAAGGTGGGCTCCCTAAGGTGGGCACATCCCCAGCGTCTGGAGATGGTAAGCTGCGGTGGTGTTCTGGAGATGGTAAGCTGCGGTGGTGTGCTCTAAGGCTGTCTCTCGTCCTTAGTACAGCTCAGAAGCCACTCATCAATATTTCGTCCCACTCGTAGAGAAACAAATAAAACTCATCTCTGCTGGGATTAATTTGCTACAGCCTGAAGCAACGAGCCTCCCTGGCAGCCACTCCGAAGCTGAATAAGCAGCATCTCAGCATCTGTTGACAATATGAAATTGTTGCCGCAGCCAGGATTCATGAGAAACGGCCTACAGAATCTAAGGAGAACACACTAGTCCATAAGGAGCGGAATCTGACCGCTGAAAGGATATCATATAATTCCCAGTTTAGTAAGGTATATTTAAGTCGGGGCTTTTTCTCTGTGGATCAGAATGTGGAGAATCTATGTAGACCTAATTGCACTTGAAGAAATTCCCAGTTACAGTGCTGGTTTGGGCTCAAAGGGCCTTGCGTTATTGCCAGCTGGACTGAGAGCGCCTTGTGCAACCGTGACATTGAGGCGCAGTTTGGCACTGGGCCCCCTGTGCCGGCCCCCTGAGACGGGAGTGGGATTACACAAGCAGGAAGAGGTCTGACTCTCGGCGTGCCATGAGGTTGGAAGAGCGCTGACCTTGGCGTGGTGTCGTTAATTCCCCCTTTGCTTCACATCACCACTTCCTTTTAATAGAAAACACGTTTGGTCCTTTTATGTTTGGAGAACCAACCCTAAGTGACTGAAGTAGTTGCTTTTTCCTTCAATTAGTAACTATTATTATTACTAGTTTTCCTTTGTGCTACATGGACAGGCCATAAGGGTAAAGATCACCCTATCCAATAACTGGCGATAGCACACTCATTTTATAGGATAACATTTTAATCTGAAAGGTGTACGTTTCTGCCCGGGACGTGATTCCATGGCTCTGATGTCACGGAGTCCTTAAATGTTGACACCTAAAATGGTTGTAGAAGGTTCAATATTTTGGTTCCCCCTGGTAGAACTGGTAAGCTTTGTGCGCTATTAAAGTGCATGATCTGTGTAGTTTTGAAAGATCAAAGTGAACAACTGCCCTGAAATTTACCTGAAGGAAGAAAAGTGGTTCTGACTAATACGATAAAGAGTAAGTCTTGGCGTTTCTTTATGAATTCAGCTTCAACAATTGAGCTTCTAAAATTATGAAACTTTATCATTAACATGAAGATTTCATAAGCACTAGAGGGTCTGTTAATACATATATATTTGCTGATAGCTTATCTATTTTCTTCTCGAACAATTAAGTAGTTTTAGCCTTTCATTTTTCTATTGTGGCTACCATATCTGGACAAATTGGCCCTACAGTGTGTTAAAAAACAAACAAACAAACAAACAAACAGAAAACCCTTGGCGCTATCCAGTCAATTCAAACTGAAAGCAATCCTGTAAGACATTGTAGAACACCCCGTAGGGTTTCAAATGCTATCAGACTTTGTGGAAGCAGACTGCCACATTTTACCCCTGTGGAGCAGCTGATGGGTTTGGACTGCTGACCTGTAGGATAGCAGATTCCTGCTTTAACCATATGCCCAAGGCTCCAGATCAGCCTTCTGCAAAATGTTTGAAATTATTAAAATCTGACTCATATTAAGTCAAGTTTATTCTAAGGCTTGTGCTAAGGACAGGCGTGAGCATCAAGAGCCAATTCCTGGACAGTGACATTCTGTTGCGTAACCCCACTCAACCAGTAATGGATTGTGTGTGAATTCTGATGTTGGTGAAGAATATTGAAAATACTGTGGATTGCCAGAGAACCAGACACGTATGTGGGGAAGAACTGTAGCCAGGGTGCTTTGTCGAAGTGAGGGTGTTGGGACTTTGTCGCATATAACATAGGCCTATAATCAGGAGAGATCAGTCCCTGGGAAAGGATCGCTTGCATGACAAAGTTCAAGGTTAGAGAAAAAGAGGGTTACTTTCGAGAAGATGGATTGGCACAGTAGCTGCCTCAGTGGGCTCAAACGATACACGTGTGAGGCTGGCACGGGGGTGGGCAGTGTTCCGTTCTGTAGGATGGAGAGCGTCGCTGGGAGCCAGAGCTGACTTGACAGCCCCTAAACCAGAAACTGGCTCTCGTAGTCAATGCTGATTCCTGAAGTATGCTTGCATGTTTGTTTGTCTATCCACCCCACCCCACCCCCAGTGGTCAAGAGGGCATATGCTTAAACGTGGGAGCTAGCAAATCCTCTGTGATTCTCATCCTCTAATTAGGCTACCTTGCACAGATGGTATATACAGCTTTTTTTTAATGAAGGAAAGCATGTGGAAATGATGTTCATGAATTTTTATAAGATAAAATACATTACTTGAGTTTTATTAATATTTACCTAACCTCTGATATAGGTCAGATCATGAGTGGAAAGATATTTGAAATTGAAATAGGTAATATCATTCCGCTCGGTGTGTTAGGCTCGCTTTTCTAGAGAAAAATTGCTAGTGAAACTGATGTACGTCTACGAATTAATTTTTTATGCAGAAGGCGTGCCAGTTTCGTCCAACTCATGTCCATGAGCCTGAGGCTAGCTGGAGCCCTCAGACTATGTGGCTGCAGGGAAGGGAAGTAAAGCAGAAAGCTGAACAGAGGAGCAGGGAGACCCTAGGTGGGAGTGGGAGGTGGGCCAGAGTAATGTGGAATGAACATGGCAAGTGCTTAGAGCTCCCAGGGTCAAAGGCCTACAGCGGCCACCTATGGGGGCAGACACAGAATCCCAGCACACAGGGAGGTGAAAGGAGAGAGAGAGGGGGAGAGAAAGGGAATATCACTATCTCTCTATAAAAAGGTCACACCTTTAAGGAGGCACCATCAGGTTGCCAGCTGATTGACAGGTTAAACTCTAACCCTACTGCCACACAGTTACCATAAAAAAAAAAAAATCAAACTCATTTCCCTTCAAGTGACCCTATAGGGCAGGTAGAACTGCCTGTGCATTCTTAATACTGTTTATAGGAATAAAAAGCCTGTCTTTCTCTCATGGAGTAGTTTCAAACTGCTGACCTTGTGGAAAGCAGCCCAATGCTTAGCCACTACACCACCAGGGCTCCCACCTTTACAGTCAAGTTGGCATAAAATCTAACGCTGCACCCACTTGTTAGGATGATATCCACGTTGAGATACACTTCTTCCCGGATGTACCCCAAAATAGATCACATATATGCTGGTTAAAAGCTTGGGCGAGTTTGGTGGACCGAATGAATTTCCCCTCCTCTTTTTGTAAGTCTTCTACCTCACCAGCAGTATCATCAAGTGTTTAAACTAGTGGATATAGTCTTTAATTAAAAACAACCCCACAAAACCTAAACATAGTGTATCTTAAAGAGAAAATATAGTACACATGTTATTTAATTTAAACTCTTAGAACAATAGCAGGGCACAAATGAGTAATTGTTGGGCAAGTAAACAACTGTAGGGGCAAGAACAACAGGAGCAATGGTTTTTGTGATGGAAAAACAAACAAAAATAAAAAATGTTGCCAACTAGTTATTTTGGGCTCATCGTGACCCTGCCTCTCTAGCAGAGTGGAATTGCCCCATGGAGTTCCTATGGCTATCATCTTGAAACAGGTTGCCACATCTTTCTCCCTAGGAATGACTGCTAGATATGAAAAACGACTTTAGGCTTATGGCCTAGTGCTTAATCATTGGGACACGCTGATGCAAATGTAGTAACCCATTGTTTCTCACACATTGG